TGGCTGGACCCATACAGTCGTAGTTCCGCTGACCACTAATTACAATCTCATTGGCAAAGAGCAGAAACTAATTAGCTTGTTTATCGAGTTCGCGTGGCAGCCATCGAAGTTACTCAATATTAATTTTCAGGCTTATCCCATTGCCCTGTGCGCTGTTTCTATCTGTCTCTTCCCCCTGATTGCCAATTATTGAATTGTTTTCCTAGCTGGAAATTCAAGCCTCATTTACCGCACATGCTGACCATTCAGCGGGAGCCCTCAAGTGTGCAATGAAATAATTAAAACTTTAGGGCCGTCAAAAAATAAGGAGAAGAACCGCAGGAAAGATATAAAAATTGGTACAAGCTGACTCACAGTTGCCCCGGCTGATGAGGCTCCACAAATTGAATAATGAACGTAAAACGAAGAAAAATGTTGAGTAATTTGAGAGGAACTGAAGAGTAGTTGATTCTTTTGTGAGGTTCTAGTTTTAATGGGGAAAAACCTCCAAGGAATAATTACTAAAATTGGTTAATATCTCTCTTACGGTAATCTACTATTTCCCTTGAGCTCCAATCTTAAACTAACTTTAAACGTGAGTAAAATGAAATATTCAACTGATATTGTAATATATTTTCCTAATAATTCATGAAACACAACTATATATCAGTACAGTAACTCACAACATTTGATTTAAAATTTCCTACTTCTACTATACTTTTCGGAAATCATTAAAAATTGATCAATTCAATACCATAGCGTTATATGAGTATAACCATATCATGTATTTTGTTCTGTTTCAAACCAGATTCAGGGCTCTAAAACCGTTAAAATTGAGATCCATTATAGACCAACTTAATAAATTTCCGTTTCCGAAACCCCGCTGTCCAGTTGATGGTGAAATTTAAGCGTAACCCAAAAACCGTCACCACAAACACTTACACACTCGCTTCGGTTTGGTTTTGCTGGGTTTGGTTTCGGTCGGTTTGGTAATGGCCAGCAGGTTGGGCTATAATGGGGAGGTATGCCCTTGCACATTCCTTCGGTTATGTTCTTCTGCGCGCTGTTTTTGTTTTTCAGTTTTCCAGTTTTCTTTTGACCAGCTATTTTACCAATGTGCTGAAAATCAAGCGGTCGAGTCGTAAACATTTTTTTAAATTCATTTTCATCCAACACTTGGCGAGAAACCAAGAATGTTGGCCATCAACCACACCGAACATACACTCTAACGCTCACACCTACATTTAAGGGGGAAAGCCATTAAACAGCTGCAGGAGGACCATCTACACTCAAAAAAAAAACAATGATAATAATAATATGTGATATTTATAATTATTTGCAAATAAATTAGGTTTTTGAACTCAGGAAAATGCCATAAATATAATACTTGACCTAGTGAAAAGGGCAGTAAGTACCCATTAAAGTTGAAACTTTGTAACGAACTTTGATAAAATCAGAAAATATATTTTTAAGGATATGATTAATTCGTCATTTTTTTTCAAGTGTAGAAAAGGAGCTACCGATGGAGCTGGAGCTAAGCAGCTGTAGTCTGGCCTGGCTGGCGTGTTGAGTGTTTGCGTTTTTCAAATTGTGTAAATTTATTTTTTTCCTGCCTTTGTTTTTATGGCGCCTGAAATTATGCTTATTCCGCCATTCCAGCTCAGCTCTTAAAGAAATTAAAAAAAGAAGCAGCAGCAGCAGCAGCTCGAAAGGGCCCCTAGTGAAAGTGAAGAAGAAGTGAACCACGAGGTAGCAAGGACCTTGAGTGTTCCTTTTGTGTGCGTGTGTTCCTTTCGCTTTGGCGCCTTTGCCGCACTTTTGTTTTTGTTTTCGATGCCAGGAGCCCTAAACGAAAACAAAACCCCAAGCACTGTCTTCTCTAAAACACTCGCTTGTCTTCGCTGGCGAAAAAAAAATATATATAATAGAAGGTCCCAAGCCAATACGAATTAAATGGCAAGGCGCTGAAATGGCCCTTTAAATTTTGCCCTCCAATTGGCAGGATATTTAATTCAGTATTTATCCTAGATGCTTTGATTTCTCCGGCCACATTTTGATTACTTCGACATCAACTGGCAGGCCTGTATATTTCTGACTATTTTTTATGTTTGACAGCCAGTTTTGGCCGAGTCTGACACTTCGACAGACAGTCGGACATTCGGGAAGAGGAAAGAACTGAGGCCATTTTCAAATTGACAGGAACAGGAAGAGCCTGGGGGAGAGGCAGGGAAATTCATGCCAATGGGGGAATATCAAAAACTCATTACAATCACTTCTGACGTAAATGTGGCCACCAAAAATAGACCTAATGGCCCACAAGGATGGTCAATACACAAAATGAGAGAAAACGATGCCGTCTAGAGCAGAATGACTGGGTCAGGCGAGCAACATTAATTAATGTTCACCTATTCGCATTCCATCGTCGGGTCTTAATTAAAACTTCAATTGCTTTTTAAATCAGAAACGTAAAAACATTTGCAAGTATAAAATTATATTTTGGGGAAAAAATTCGCGGAGGTTTTCCATCAATCTTAATTTATTTAATATGCCACGCATATATCTATGGAAAATTTATATGTTTCCATAAAATGTTTTTCTACGTCTCATTTGTCTAGGCAATTTGTGTCTATAAAGCGCACAATAAAAATCGACATTAAAAGGCTGCCATTCAAATAAATATGGCCTTGTGCTAAACGAATCGTTAACAAAAACTGGAAGCAAAAAAAATATCATAAAAAAGCTGGAGGGAGTACAAAATGAAAGCGAAACACTTTTTCAAAATAATTTCACACAATTAAAGTGAAAAGCCATACGCAGACGTCTATTGTCGGGAACAATGGCCAAGAAGAGATGAGGGTTGGCTGAAGGAGGGTCGGCCGATTTATTTGTTGAGTGCAAATTATATTTGAAATACAAACACACATAGCTGTGTATAAAAATGTTCTGAACAAATTTGTGCAGCAAAAACGTTCACACAAACGAATCAAGTGGAATTTGTTTCATTTCGCTGGTACTCTTAATTTCTTTTACTTTCTTTTTGCCCCCGGGCGAGAGCTTCCTAACCCTCCAATTTAAGTGCATACGTTTCGGGGCTTCCAGGAAGATCAAATTTTTAATAACTGTCTCTAAGAGCATAAAAAAGGCGAACGACCTGAGTTTTACTTTTGAGCCGAAAAGTTGTCCTAACACTGCGAAACGCCATAAAGATGCTGGCTAAGTAAGTTCCACTGATATGGCTAACTTCATTTGTATTTCCGCCGCACTCCAAGCACTTCCGTCGGTTGCCAGGCTCAAAGTCTGCCAAGAGTCTGCAGGGGGCCCTACATATTTACATTTGACCGGAGGATGGACCGGGCATGGACGGTATAGTTTATGGCCAGCTGGCTAAGCCTGACTGGCTTATTTATGAGGTCCGGGGTACGTGTTTTATAGTATTTTATTTGTACCTGTATATTTCATAAATTACGTGGTAATCTGCGTGTAATTGTCCCCACTCCCTTGGTCCAATAGCATTGCGTAATTACGCTTATTGTTTAAACAATCAGGCATGGGCCAGGCACTTCATAACTCTTCTTCGATTGGATGGATCGCCTCGAGTCATCGCCAACACTCATAATTCTGGGCCCTCAATTACTCCACCGTTGGCCTCCTGGATCAGAGAACTCTTCTCCTGGCACATGTTTTGGGGGAAACAAATTGCGCTGTTGACCTTCGGTTGGTTGGCAAAAGTTATGCCTTTGACTCAATTGAATCTCACAAAACGGGCTTGGGCATGGGCCTCCGCACAGACAACTGTTTCAGCATATTTATAGGCATTATTTCTGTACTCAAGGATTTCCAGTCAACGATTCCGGCTCGTTAGTGAACTGACTTCGCCGTGGTAGCTCCGTTGTCCCCTTGGCCGCAGATTTATGCCGCTGCCAAAACTTTTTTAACAACATCCGAAATTTACGATTTTCGGAACACGCAGAGTTATGTTGGCCGGGGCGGAGGAAATGGTTAACTAGTCTGGCCTATTCTATCTCCATCTTTGGGCTGTTGTTTGTTGTCCTGCCCTGGGATCTGTTTTGATTTAGTAATGGCTGGCGGACATTTAATTAGTGTCGCCAGAAAGTCTGCAAAGAAGATCCCGATAAATAAGCCGACTATTAGATGACAGACGTCAGCCATTGTTCGAACTTTATCATTATAATGAGCTCGTCCACCTTTAACTGGCAGTGAAGTCATCAACCGCTCTTCTTATAACTCATTTTGTTGGGCCACTAAACGAAATTTGAATATGTAAAGTGCGCCCCGAGTGAATTGAAAATGTAAGTCGCAAGCCAAACAAAAGTTTACATTTGGTTACACCGTTTCTGATGCTGACAATCATGTTAATGAGGCTGTCGCTGTCAATTAGGAACGAATCTCAACGGCCCCCGTGGTGGCACAAACCGCTGAGCGGTTTAGCCACATATTGAGATATGAGAGATTTACCATTCTAAATTATTGATTTTTGAAGTAGGTGCGAAGGGAAACGAATTAACAATTTAATGAAATCTTGTATCTCTGTTATATTACATTTTGGAAGTAAGGTAAAGACTTTGGTACAATACTATTTATCGAGTATGTTTAAGATTATCCAATCCTTTAGAAGAAAACAAGTCGTTAAGTGCGTGGTTCTGTAGAGAAGTCGGTGATTATAATTAAACCTTATATTAAAACCAGACGATCCCTTTAACTTTGTTCACACAAGCTTTAAATATCTCAACCAAATAAAAAACTTTAAAAACGTGGGATTACGTTTATAGCTCTCAAATAGAAATGTTTGAACATTACTTACTTACTTCGAACTTACATTACTTACCTAGTAAAGTTATTGGTCCCTACTTTTTAAGTTAGATTTCCGCAAACTAAGTTAAGATTAATAATTCCTTTTCATATAAAAACCAATAAAGTGAGCTTCAATTTCTTTTATTCGATTAATAAATTAATTTTTAAATAAATAAATGACTTTGAATGTTGTATTGAAGAGCTACCGCTTAGCAGATAAAACCAAGGAACTTGCACTTGTTGATGGTAATCGTTTCTGTGGATTCGCCAGAGTCGTGCGAGTGTGGTGGTGGTGGTGGTGGTGGTAGAGGTGGTGGAGGTGGTGGGGGTGGGTAGTATGGGTAGGGTGGATAGTAGGGGGCTGGTGGAGGGTAGTGACCGTGGTGACCGTGATGACCATGATGTCCGTGATTGGGGTGATCAGGCTTTGGGTCGGGTTTCGGGTCGGGCTTTGGGTCCGGCTTCGGGTCGGGTTTTGGATCAGGCTTCGGGTCGGGCTTCGGATCAGGCTTTGGGTCCGGCTTCGGGTCGGGCTTCGTATCGGGCTTGTGCGGGTGCGACGGGTGATGATGGTATCCGGGATACGGATACGGTGGTGGTGGTGGTGGATAGTAGCCGGGGTAGGGGTAATGCTGAGGTGGGTACGGTGAGTACTGCGGGTAAGCCGAGTAGGAGTAATGGGGTGCCGGTTGGTAAGAACTACTACTGTGCTTCCTCTTTGTGGTCCTTGGCCTCCTGGTGGTGGTGGTGGAGGGGAAGGTGATCACCAGGTTTCCAGCGCTGCCTTCGCCGCCGAAGAGTTTGCGAAATGAGGATGGATCCGCCTCGGCGTAATTCTCCTCAACGCTGTTCAGCTCCTGGCTGTTCTCCAACTCCGATTCCTGTCCGAAGTTCTCCTCCAGCGGATAAGCTGTGGCCAGGGCTCCGCAGAGCGCCAGGCACAGGCAGAGTACCAACTTGGTGCTCATGATGTGAAAGATGTTCGCTTTGAACTGATTGACAGATGCCATCAGCTGCGCTTTTATACTAGCCAAATTCGCCAAAAGAAATGCGATGATACCCTCTTAGCTTATTGGCAATAAACATTAACCCAGTTTGCAAAGATTTTCAAAAGATCATGGAAAGAAATTGTCACATCTTCTGCAAAAACTATCTAGTCACTGCTTATGCCAAGTTAGCATGTAAATTAGTTTGGCTATTAAAATCAGCTCAGAACACGCCCAACATGTTGCTATGTAGCTTTTATTTGCTTAGATCGGCGTTATGGATTAGCTTGCTCGTATAACGGTTCAAGCTTGAGGGGACTTTTTTTTCATTTTTATTGTCAGAATTCCAAGCTGGCTTCTATTTAAATATGCAGAGCTCTAAAGTGATTAAACCGTGTTTATTACTTTGTGGCAGATGTTTGATAGAATCTACTTCACAGGTTCCAAAGGGTCTACGGAAACTTTACGAGTTGGGAGAATTTTGATAGCAAATGAAAATGGGAAATTATAAATTTATGAAAATTACACAATTTCAATTAACACTTATATATATAAGCACTCGTAAGCATTTATTATAGCCAAAAATATTATTGCTTAGTCCGCTAGAGGAAAGATTGTTGATATTGATATAGATTTTGTTAAGGTTGGCTCGTTGCGTACATCTTTACAAACTCTACTCGTTGAGATTTCAGTTTCAGTGAACTACATAGAAGGCACCTAGAATTCTATCCCAAATACCTTTACCTATATTCACAAAGCTTGCCTATTGAAATATATGTCTTCTAGACACATGTTGACAGTGGGATATTTCTTTAAGGCACCCAAATTGACATTTATTTATAAGCGTTCGACCCCGAAAATTGATCCATTAATTACAATTCAGATAAGTGCCTGCCTTTGGGTTATAAAAGTTCGAGTGACCATCAGGGCCTGGCATAGTCTGAATTAGAACTCGGGAACTAAGGAGGCTTAACCTTATTCTACATCATGTTAGTCGCTTTGATTGGTCTCACGCTGCTGCTCCAAGTGAACTCGATTGCAGGACAGGGCTATCAAGTATTTGGATCCGGCGATGTACAGGTTATCTATCCATCCTCCGGTCAGGTTCAGGTGTTAGGTGGCAGACCTTTTCGTCGCGGATTGTGGGATATTGTGAGGAATCTCACGATCACTGCAAATGCAACAAGTCAGGATGACCAACTTGTCAGTCTATTGGGCAACGGAAATATAGCACTCTCAGCTAACCAGAATGCCGGGAACGGAAATGGTCCTCTTCGGAATCTTTTGAGAACCCTGTTTGGCCGCCAGCCAAATGTACAATATGTGAACCTGAGTGGCAGAGCCTTCAATAGTCGCCCCCAGGAGCCACAGTACTGGAATGGCTTTCAGCCCTATGTCAGCCCAGTGCTTTTGCCTCGCGCACGAGTTAAGGTTATGCGACAAGGTGTCCCACGCCGGATTTTGGTACGGAACCTCAAGACCAGCCAATCCCAAATGACCAATGTGGTAACTTACAGAATTCCCGTTTTAGAGAACGACTGGCAGGTATGCGAGTTGAAGAATTTAGCAATAGGTTTTTATTAAATTTTTATTCTTTTTAGTACGAAACCACATATACGGAATAATAGGCTGACTTAATGATAAGAAAGAGCCCATCACTGGATAGACAGCGAATAAAATTACAATTTGACACAAATAAATTTGTTTGCCTTCAATAAAATTAGACTATTGTACAAAAAAGTTATAGCTAACATTTGGCTGCCGAGCCTATAAACATTTTATTATTTGTTATAATTTTGAATAACTTTCTCAAAGTACAAAGTTTCAGGTTGACAACCTTTTCTCCAAAAACCACACTGTCATGCTTATTTGCCAAGTAATCATTTGCTACGAAAAGGGACTTGGTTTTGTCAATAAATTATTTCAATATTAAGAGACTAGTTTGCTCAGAAGCTAGACCTTGACCAACGTACACTGGGGAAAATGAATTGTAAAGCTCTTTTGTAAGAATTATAATTTTTGCTTCTGGAACTTATATTTGTTCAGCCGTATAGTCATTTTTCAGTTCTTTAAAGTGTTAGGAATTCTTTTTCTGCTAACAGATCAGACTTTCGGCGATCTAAGGCACCTGGAACTTAAAATTGGGCCCTGCACAACTCAGGAGGTATATATAACTTAAGACCTGGCCACTAAAGTAGCCATCACAATAACAACGCCTAATTGGAGTACAACGCATATCTCACCGAGTTATACAGCAATCAATGGCAGCAGTTCTATCAAGCTCAGGTGGCGTACAATCAGTTATATGAACCCTACAGTCCATATGGACTTCATGGGCTCTACTGAGCCGGAACCCCACCCTTTGATCCCTATTAATACGATGGACTACATGATCATCATAGGAGTTCAAACAACCTTCACAGCAGTTCCAACAACAAACGGCCCGAAGAACTTCGACGGCCGTAGCCATCCAAACGACAACTACGGTATTCCCAACCACATCTACTGCCGTTGCTATAACATCTAGACCCAATACCCCCTCGGCAGCCTTAGTCACAGTCACTACGATCTGCACCGCAATCATTCCTAGCATTTCTATGTACACTTGGTATCATCAGCTCAGTTCTCATCGGTCTATATATTGAACACGTTGCGAAAAAATAGAAGGTACTTAAATTATTTCATGCCTAATTAAAACTGACTTTTAAATTAGTTTTAAGGGCAACATACTCGTAACTCCCAGTTTCCATTTAAAAGAAAACAAAAAAAAGATAATATTGGAAGGCGAAATGGTCCCAATGTTATGCGGTTATCGGTGGTTTATCTTCTCCGCTAATTCAAATCCAATAAACAGGCAGTAATCGAATTAAAAAGGTAAACAAAAGCTAGACAAAAAAACGGAGAAAAGAGAGGCGCGATCGATTTCTCCGATCGCTAACTTATTGATGAGCCAAAATTAGCATTTATATTTCATGGGGTGCAGACATTTGCTAAATATGCAAGTCCAATGCCCAGACAGTCTTAGTTCAAAGTGGTCCGCGTTTCGATATGCAACTAACTGGATTTTTACTGTGTTTAGTAGCTCTGACCAGAGCAGCTGTCGTGGACTTTGAGCAGGAGAAAATCCGAACAGCTTTACCATGGCTTTACCTTCTGGCATATCCCGGAGTCATATCACAGGTTCCCATCCCGAGACCGCAAGATGAGACATTTACCAGCATCAACAGTGCGACCATGATGCAGCCCCAGTCCGATGAAATGGCTAACTCTGAACAATCAAGCAATTTGGTACGTGAGCAGTTCATTCAAGGAATTCTACAGGGCTTACAGCAGTCAGGAGCTCAAGCCGGAACACCCACAATTTCACCCGCTGTGCTGGCAGACTTTATCGCCCAGGTAACTACTACCACTCAAAAGCCATCGGTGGAGAAAGATGTCAACGGACCCGACAACGATGAAGATGTTGACTATATAGACTTTAAAAACGGATCTCGCATCAAATACGACTTGGATGATGTTGAGCAGCCGGTGAACAAAATTTTGCAGCAAACCACAAGGCGACCGGCTGTGGCTCGACCCCAAAGCAATGCCAATGTTGTCTACTATAGACCTCCAACTCGCTACGTATATTATAGGCCTATATATAGGCCTTCTTTGTATTCCTATCGAGTTGGATAAGCGAATATTATAAAACAGTCGATATCAATAAATATAAAATATTCACAGAGAGAGATGATTAGTAACTTTCCGATGCCTCGTAATAAAGGCCCGCTGAACAGAATTTTCTTATTATGACGGGCCATTAGTCGACTAAGTTATGCGAAAGTTCACTTCTCTGATTTCACTAGCCAAAACAATAAAAATTCAAACTATCGCTTCGGATCTTTACCAAGCCCAAGTCTTTTTAGGTCTCTGACACAGCCCAATTTATGACACCCGACCGACTGTATAAAACTCAAAGCACCTTCGAGTCGTCACTTTAGTTCTGAACTAACCGGAGCACCGTAGAATCTCTCTTCATAATGCTGTTTAAGTCCTTGGGATTGCTTCTCCTACTGACTGGTCAGGCCTGGTGTCAGTCCATTAGTTTTCCTATTTACACCGTTGGAAGTATTTACTCGGCTCTAACTGGAGGAGGAGGTGGAGGCGGTGGAGGCGGCGGTGGTGGTGGCGGAGGAGGAGGAGGTGCCTCAACCAGCAGCAGTGATCAAGATGCGTACGACGCCCTCGTGAATCACTATTACAACAGTCAATTGCAGCAATACAACCAAGCTCAGGCGGCTTACAGCGCGTATATGTATAGTCTCTATGGACTCTATGCGCAAGAGGCAGCGGCATCGGCAGCAGCAACGGCAGCCCAGGAAGCAGCAGCGGATGCATCAGCGGCGGCTGCAGCGGCGAATGCAGCGGCGGCTACCGCTACTACAACTACTACAGAAGCTCCGACTACAACTACAACTGCGGCTACAACCACGACTGCAGCTACAACAACGACCACAGCAGATCCAAACACTTCAACTGCAGTGGCCACAACGGCAGGACCTGTCACCACCTCGACCGCCGTAGCCACAACGGCAGGACCTGCTACCACCTCCACCGCCGATACCACGACCACGACCACGTCCACAACCACTACCACGACCACGACCACGGAAGCTCCTTCAACTTCTACCGCTGCGGCGGCAGCGGACACGAACACCACTTCTACGGCGGTGGCAAGTGCCAGGATTCAAACCACACCTCTGCCCTATCACTATGCTCCCAGCTCACTGATCAGTCCCTATGATCTTCACCGCATCAGCTCCAATCCTATTTACGTCCGGAACTCCGCAGTAGCAGAATCTTCAGCTCAGCCCGTGCCTGTATATAATCCATATGATATTTACCGTGGCGGGCAGGCACCTCCTTATTTCGTATACGGAAAGAAGTAGAAGACCTATGCAAATATTAATGTATTTAACACATCCGAAAGTTAATTTATTCAATAAAATCAAAAAAAAAGCTAATAGCCTTTCTTTTTTCAGCTAATTGATTCCAATACCAGCGAATGAAATGTTCAGAAGCTATAGGCTCAACCCAAACACGTTCTGAATGAGAAGCTACGACTATATAGTAAAGTTAAGAACTAATTAGCATTAGCTGCACCGAAAAAGATTCTTTGCTTAGGCCTGAATTTGCTAAATCTATAAAAAGGCTAATTTTATTAGGATATATACATTAAACCTTTTGTTTGCATATAGTGTCTCTTCAATTTTACGACTTTAGTGGTCCGTATAAAACTCCAGGGGCTTAGCCGCTATCACTTCAGTTCTAGGCCTACCAGAGCGCTGGTTGATCTCAGCTCAGAATGAAATTAAGTACTGTCAGCTTGTTGCTTATTCTAAGCAGTCAGGCATGGAGCCAATCAATTAAAATAAGGATACCTGTCTGGGATGCTTCCAGCTTATTTACGCGCTTAACAGGAATTCGAATCAACTCAGGATCTAACTCTAATAACCAAATCCCATCAAATGAAAATAACAACCAGCAGAATAACGAGTACAACGATTATTTAAACAACTATTATAAAAACTATTGGGCGAATGCATACCAGAATTTTGATCCCTACGGATACGGATATTTCGGACCATATGGACCGTACGGACTTTACGGACCTTATGATCTTGGTGAACTTCAAACTTCAACAAGCACGCAACCCACAACACCTTTTCCACCAACTACCACAACCACAACAAGTACTGCAAGCCCCACAACAGACTCTACCGCAACAAGTACTGCAAGCCCAACAACAGATTCTACCACAACAAGTACTGCAAGCCCCACAACAGACTCTACCAAAACAAGTACTGCAAGCCCCACAACGGATTCCTCCACAACAAGCACTAAAAGCCCCACAACGGACTCCACCACAACAAGTACTGCAAGCCCCACAACCGATTCGACCACAACAAGTACTGTAAGCCCTACAACAGATTCTACCACAACAAGTACTGCAAGCCCCACATCGGATTCCACCACAACAAGTACTACAAACCCAACAACGGATTTCACCACAACAACAGTAAGTGGAACAACGTCCACAGGGATTCCCACAACGGATTCTACCACAACAAGTACTGCAAGCAGGACAACAGATTCTACCACAACAAGTACTGCAAGCCCCACAACGGATTCTACCACAACAAGTACTGCAAGCCCCATAACGGATTCCACAACAACAAGCACTGCAAGCACAACGGATTCCACCACAACAAGTACTGCAAGCTCCACTACGGATTCTACCACAACAAGTACTGCAAGCCCCACAACGGATTCCACCACAACAAGTACTGCAAGCCCCACAACGGATTCCACCACAACAAGTACTGCAAGCCCCATAACGGATTCCACAACAACAAGCACTGCAAGCACAACGGATTCCACCACAACAAGTACTGCAAGCTCCACAACGGATTTCACCACAACAAGTACTGCAAGCCCTTCAACGGATTCGACCACAACAAGTACTGCAAGTCCCATAACGGATTCCACAACAACAAGCACTGCAAGCACAACGGATTCCACAACAACAAGTACTGCAAGCTCCCCAACGGATTCCACCACAACAAGTACTGCAAGCCCTACAACGGATTCGACCACAACAAGTACTGCAAGTCCCATATCGGATTCCACCACAACAAGTACTGCAAGCCCAACAACGGACTCCACCACAACAACAGTAAGTGGAGCAACGTCCACAGCGATCCCCACAACGGATTCTACCACAACAACAGTAAGTGGAACGACGTCCACAGCGATCCCCACAACGGATTCTACCACAACAAGTACTGCAAGCCCCACAACAGATTCTACCACAACCAGTACTGCAAGCCCCACAACGGACTCCACCCCAACAAGCACTGCAAGCCCCACAACGGATTCGACTACAATAAGTACTGCTAGCCCCACAACAGATTCTACCACAACAAGTACTGCAAGCGCCACAACGGATTCCACCACAGAAAGCCCTGAAAGCCACACAACGGATTCCACCACAACAACAGTAAGTGGAGCAACGTCCACAGCGATTCCCACAACGGATTCTACCACAACAACAGTAAGTGGAACAACGTCCACAGCGATTCCCACAACGATTTCTACCACAACCAGTACTGCAAGCCCCACAACGGATTCCACCTCAACAAGTACTGCAAGACCCACAACGGATTCCACCCCAACAAGTACTGCAAGCTCCACAACGGATTCTACCACAACAAGTACTGCAAGCCCCATAACGGATTCCTCAACAACAAGCACTGCAAGCCCCACAACGGATTCCACCCCAACAAGCACTGCAAGCCCCACAACGGATTCGACTACAATAAGTACTGCTAGCCCCACAACAGATTCTACCACAACAAGTACTGCAAGCGCCACAACGGATTCCACCACAGAAAGCCCTGAAAGCCACACAACGGATTCCACCACAACAACAGTAAGTGGAGCAACGTCCACAGCGATCCCCACAACGGATTCCACCACAACAACAGTTAGTGGAACAACGTCTACAGTGATCCCCATAACGGATTCTACCACAACAAGTACTGCAAGCCCCACAACGGATTCCACCACAACAAGTACTGCAAGCTCCACCACGGATTCCACCACAACAAGTACTGCAAGCCCTACAACGGATTCGACCACAACAAGTACTGCAAGTCCCATATCGGATTCCACCACAACAAGTACTGCAAGCCCAACAACGGACTCCACCACAACAACAGTAAGTGGAGCAACGTCCACAGCGATCCCCACAACGGATTCTACCACAACAACAGTAAGTGGAACGATGTCCACAGCGATCCACACAACGGATTCTACCACAACAAGTACTGCAAGCCCCACAACAGATTCTACCACAACCAGTACTGCAAGCCCCACAACGGATTCCCCAACAAGCACTGCAAGCCCCACAACGGATTCGACTACAATAAGTACTGCTAGCCCCACAACAGATTCTACCACAACAAGTACTGCAAGCGCCACAACGGATTCCACCACAGAAAGCCCCACAACGGATTCCACCACAGCAACAGTAAGTGTAGCAACGTCCACAGCGATTCCCACAACGGATTCTACCACAACAACAGTAAGTGGAACAACGTCCACAGCGATTCCCACAACGGATTCTACCACAACCAGTACTGCAAGCCCCACAACGGATTCCACCTCAACAAGTACTGCAAGACCCACAACGGATTCCACCCCAACAAGTACTGCAAGCTCCACAACGGATTCTACCACAACAAGTACTGCAAGCCCCATAACGGATTCCACAACAACAAGCACTGCAAGCCCCACAACGGATTCCACCACAACAAGTACTGCAAGCTCCACCACGGATTCCACCACAACAAGTACTGCAAACCCTACAACGGATTCGACCACAACAAGTACTGCAAGTCCCATATCGGATTCCACCACAACAAGTACTGCAAGCTTTACAACAGATTCTATCACAACAAGTACTGCAAGACCCACAACGGACTCCACCCCAACAAGTACTGCAAGCCCCACAACAGATACTACCACAACAAGTACTGCAAGCCCCACATCGGATTCCACCACAACAAGTATTGCAAGCCCAACAACGGATTCCACCACAACAACAGTAAGTGGAACAACGTCCACAGCGATCCCCACAACGGATTCTACCACAACAACAGTAAGTGGAACAACGTCCACAGCGATCGCCACAACGGATTCTACCACAACAAGTACTGCAAGCCCCACAACAGATTCTACAATAACCACTAGCACACAACCCACAACTAAACCCGAACTTTGTACAACTTTTCCTGAGCTTCCAGTGTGTCAATCGTTAACAACAAGTACAGAAGGCATCACAACAGATTCCACCATAGCCAGTACTACAACTACAAGTACTGACGGCCCCACAACGGATTCCACCATAACAGATACTACCACAACAAGTACTGCAAGCCCCACATCGGATTCCAACACAACAAGTACTGCAAGCCCAACAACGGGTTCCACCACAACAACAGTAAGTGGAGCAACGTCCACAGCGATCCCCACAACGGATTCTACCACAACAACAGTAAGTGGAACAACGTCCACAGCGATCCCCACAACGGATTCTACCACAACAAGTACTGCAAGCCCCACAACAGATTCTACAATAACCACTAGCACACAACCCACAACTAAACCCGAACTTTGTACAACTTTTCCTGAGCTTCCAGTGTGTCAATCGTTAACAACAAGTACAGAAGGCATCACAACAGATTCCACCATAGCCAGTACTACAACTACAAGTACTGACGGCCCCACAACGGATTCCAACACAACAAGCACTGAAAGCCCCACAACGGATTCCACCACAACAAGTACTGCAAGCCCCACAACGGATTCCACCACAACAAGTACTGCAAGCTCCGCAACAGATTCTACCACAACAAGTACTGCAAGCTCCACAACAGATTCTACCACAACAAGTACTGCAAGCCCCACATCGGATTCCACCACAAGAAGTACTGCAATCCCAACAACAGTAAGTGGATCAACGTCCACAGCGATCCCCACAACGGATTCTACCACAACAAGTACTGCAAGCTCCACAACGGATTCTACCACAACAAGCACTGCAAGCACAACGGATTCCACCACAACAAGTACGGCAAGCCCCACATCGGATTCCACCACAACAAGTACTACAAGCCCAACAACGGATTCCACCACAACAGTTACTACCACAACAAGTACTGCAAGCCCCACATCGGATTCCAACACAAGAAGTACTGCAAGCCCAACAACGGGTTCCACCACAACAACAGTAAGTGGAGCAACATCCACAGCGATCCCCACAACGGATTCTACCACAACAACAGTAAGTGGAACAACGTCCACAGCGATCCCCACAACGGATTTTATCACAACAAGTACTGCGGATTCCAGCTCAACAAGTACTGCAAGCTCAACAACTGGTTCTACCACAAAAAGTACTGCAAGCCCCACAACAGATTCAAACACAACAAGTACTGCGATCCCCACAACGGATCTTACCACAACAACTACAGCGAGCGACACAATGGATTCGACCACAACAAGTACTGCAAGCCCCACAACGGAATCCACCACAACAACAGCAGGTGAAACAACTTCCACAGCGATCCCCACCACAACAAAGAAGACCACAGACCCATTATGCAAAATTTTTCCGCATCTTCCGATTTGTCAATCGAAAAATTCAGTGAACCTTGTAGAAAATGGATCTGGTTTATCGGATACCAAAACATCAGACACAATTTTTAACCCCGAACAACAGCTGGCAATTACGTCGTTTCCTCAATCAGTGACTTCTCTCTGTTACTTTTATCCTCGTCTGTGCTTAAAGCCAGAGGAGGCCCAATTCGTACGACTTGCCGATGGAAATGGAAAGCATTTGTTGTTAATTTCACATGTCGATGGACGATCCGCTCACCCCCAACAGGAGCCTGCCTTATGGAGAGCTATAAGGAGAACCCTAGAAAAAAAAGGAATAAATATTATAAAAGGGTTACGATAACAGCAAATGTTATTTCATTGCTCTTATTTATTTTATTTACAACAAATATTGAAATATATTGATAAAATTATAAAATTTTTTAGTACCGTATCTTTATCTATCAAGCATTTTCAAATAATATTAGTTTACAGACAAGCATATATGAACTTAAACTACTTACACAATGAAAACCATGTTCTCTGGTAAGTGTTTGGTTTCTTTTACATATCAAAAATGAATTGCAAAGTGAAGCATTTAAAGACTATATATATATCATTGGTTTACTTTTAATAAGTTGAGTTAGGAAATTCTTTGTAGATAAAAGAAATTCGCGCGTCCAAATAGAAATCTATTTGAAGAGCAGCCTGATTAAGAAAGAACGTAATACTTTGTTGCTTTGTTTAGTGGCATACAAAAAATTGCTAGTTTGACAATTGATTTAACCATAAAGCGCTTGGGTCGTCTATGGCTTAAGGGCATCATCAGTGGTTTTTTTATCTTCTGATATGTCTATAAAAACGATTTTTCAACTTGGTAGCTTAGTTTAGATCCAGGCTTTAAGGCAAACAACACGATTCGCGGCAATGTTTTCGATGCGCGCGTTTTTACTTTTATTGATCGCAGCCCTAGTAGGGTGTGACAAACCTGAAGGAGCTCTTAGATTGAACGTGCCTCTTTGGGATGTGAATAATCTTTACTCGCGCATATCGAGTGCCTTTGGCGCAGCAACCACCACGCAACCACCGCAGGTCGCACAGGGAAATCCCTCAGCAGCTGGGCCTTGGGACGCCTATTACAATGCGATGTTGCAGAAGTATTACAAAAAAAAGCAAGCACTCTTTTCTCCAAATGAGGCGATGGCAGTTGATCCCTTACCTTTGCCCGTACCTATTCCAATGCCACTTCCTCGGCCCCCGCGACCTTTGCGTCCTTTGCGGCCCCTGAGGCCCCAGATTCCGAATCGACCAAGACCCAGGCCAACTCGAAAACCCACTAGAAGGAGCACGACAACCAGAAGGCCAACAACAACCACTCAGAAAACCACAACCACTAAAAAAGCTACAACAACTTTGTCCACATCAACTTCATCGCCCGTATCCATTTCGAGTACTTCGACTACAGTTGCGTCTACAACTAATTCAACAACCGCTGAATCGTCGACTACGGGAGGATCTTCTACAACAGGAGGCTCTTCAACAACTGGAGGTTCTTCTACAACTGGAGGCTCTTTCACAACAGGGTCTTTTACAACAGGATCATCAACGACAGGATCGTCATTTTCATCTTCACGGACTAGAGCGAAGAATGGATATTTACGAGCCACAACGGCCAATCCATTTTATTCATACCATAATCGGATTCAGAGCAGTCCCATTTCAACTCCGACTGTGCTCAGTCTAGAGGGTCTGCCCTCAACTTCTGCTGACTTCCGTCCTGAACTGCAACTTACAATACAATCAGCACCTCAGTCCATGTCAACGCTGTGCCATAACTATCCACGCCTTTGTGCTCATCCCGAGGAGGCGCAATACGTACGCTTAACCGATGGATTCGGCAAGCCCATGCTACTTATAACGCCTGGAGGGATTACACAGAACCCGCTCTTTACAGAACCCATGGAACGTCCCATTACCTCGAAACTAAGGCACTTAAAGTTGCAGCCCTCAATGAAACCATCTAGAAATAAATATATTTACAGGCTTGTTAAAAGAAATCAAAGATCTTAAAGGCTTCCTGTTTTATTGAAAATAAAAAGTGCACAAGTAAAGTCTAAGGTCTTCTTACATTTTGAAAAAGTTTTGGCGTGGTGCCAAGGGTTGGCTTGTGAATAATTTTTTGAGAAACTTTATTCAGTTTTGAACTTTCCAAATTGGTTTATTAACGGAATGTTTGCCTTAAATGTTCGATCCTCTGATTGTGCTTTAGGACAAAAAAAATCTGGTGCTGATATCAGTACATCACAAAGCAAGAAGAACCCCTTTCAGTCCCAATCACGTTAGAAACAGCAATAAATAAAATCAAACCAGATAAGACAAAAAATAATATTTTTGGATGATTAAACCAAAGATTGTGTCACAAAGCCATGTAGCCATGTAGTCAATAAATTATGAGCTTTGATCATCACATTCGTAATGCTATGAAGTGTACGGAATGCATCAACCTGTCAACACCGACTAATCAAGCAAATGTTTAAGAAGATAAATAATGAGTTTAAATATATTGATCGATATAGCTTAAAGTTTGTTGCCTTCTTAATTTAATGGGATCAGTGATTATTAAACTTCTTCTTTGGGACACCATGGAATATATAAAGCCGTTAATGAATACTCCACTTCAGTCCGTTCTATTACTAGAAGCATGGAACTGCTTAGAAGTTTAGTTATCTGGGTCTTGCTAGTCGCAGCCGGACCTAGATGGCTGATTTCGCTATCCGCTGGTTATCAGGTCCAAGTACGAGTACCCGTGTGGGATGTTGGAGGCCTTATCAAACGAGTCACTGGTTTCACCAAGGGTCATGTTAGTAATCAGAAAAAGAAAGATCGACCCAACCAGGAAGAGTTTTGGCCGCCTTATTATGGATACTACGATCCTTCTGCGATACTTTATCCTCCTCCTCCGTTCTATCCATACCCTCCTTATGTGCCGCCAACAAGTCCCCCGTGGCCAACAACTGAATCTCCAACTGAGCCCCCAACGGAGCCACCAACTAAGAGACCAACTAAAGGTCCAACTAAAGGTCCAACTAAAGGACCAACTAAAGGTCCAACTAAAGGACCAACTAAAGGTCCAACAAAAGGACCAACTAAAGGTCCGACTAAAGGGCCGACTAAGGGACCAACTAAAGGACCAACTAAAGGTCCGACTAAAGGGCCGACTAAGGGACCAACTAAAGGACCAACTAAAGGTCCAACTAAAGGACCAACTAGACCAACTAAACCAACTAGACCAACTAAACCAACTAGACCAACTAAACCAACTAGACCAACTAGACCAACTAAACCAACTAGACCAACTAAACCAACTAGACCAACTAAACCAACTAAACCAACTAAACCAACTACAACTGAATCTCCAACCGAAACTACAACAGTGATTTCAACAACGGAGCCAACAACGGAAACTCCAACGGAGACAACAACGGATGCAACAACGGAGACTACAACTGATGCAACAACAGAGACAACAACTGATGCAACAACGGAGACAACAACGGATGCAACAACGGATGCAACAACGGAGACTACGACGGATGCAACAACGGAGACAACAACTGATGCAACAACGGAGACAACAACGGATGCAACAACGGAGACAACAACGGATGCAACAACGGAGACAACAACGGATGCAACAACGGAGACAACAACTGATGCAACAACGGAGACAACAACGGATGCAACAACGGAGACAACAACGGATGCAACAACGGAAGCTACAACAAATCCACCCGCCCGCGATCTTTGCGCAGTGTACTCTTATCTTCCGGAGTGTCAAGAAATCAAATCAGTGCACTTAACTAACAATAAGCTTAGTAATGTTTTCAAGCCACAGCAGAAGCTTTCTGTTGAAACTGTACCACACTCGGTTACATCCCTCTGTTTTTATTATCCCCGTTTGTGTATGAAGCCCGAAGAAGCTCAATTTGTACGATTGTCAGACGAGAATGGAAGACCCTTGCTCTTGATAACTCCAGCAGAGGGTACATCACCTCAATCTCTGGTAAAAAACAAGAAAAGGCTAAGCGGAAAAAAAGATTTTTAGCATGGAAATCACCAGAAATTTGTTCTTTGCTCTTAATAAATTAAAAAATCTTTTAAAAAAATAACAGAAAAATCAGCTGTAAACTTTCTTTAATTTTCTCATAATGCACTTTTTCTTACTCTTTGTATACACTTTTAATCCGAATTACAAGTGATCCTGTTAAGCAGAAAGGGTCAAGGAACGGACTTCCTAGTGAAGTTATGAAGATTTTAACCTTCATCCATTAAGTATCTAGATATGCTTAAATACGTCTTTATTAACGTAATTGTATGCCCATAGGCCTGCACCAATTACACTTTAATTTATAATCGATTAATAATAACCAGTACCTTTTAGATAAGATCAATTTCAGCAGCTTAAGTTCCACATCATCCATTCTGTCTGCGGTCCGAAATACCTTACATATTTGTGGGTTATTCTTTTGATATGACAAAGATGACAGCACTCCAAGCAAACCTATTCAAGCAAACTGGTTTCAGTTGCCCCACTCCACCTGGGCATCGTTCCAAAATGATCAGTCCCAGTCCAGCTTCCTGAGAAGGTGGTAGCTGAATTTGAAATGAGCTCCGTCCAAGCCTTTCGAGCATTCCTATGGCTAGTTTTGCTCCCGTGCTGCGTATTTCTACGATGGTGTGAAGCTGCCCCACAAATCCAAGATGAGATACTGCAGCAACTTAAGGAGCTGAATTTGGCACAGGCGAAGCTTATTGCGGCTAACTCCACTGTTAAGTGCAGCCTGACCCCACATCTTTGCGACTGGCAACTGCATCTATACGAGGGCCACCGATTCAGTGTTCCACTTGTACAGACTGTGGAAAGTACACCCACCAAAGCACCCTCGAATGCCGGTCAAGAAATCTTTGAGTTGACCCACCAAGACAGTGGGTTGCAGCTGTTCATTGTGGCCGAAATTGAGCCCAAGTCGAGACGGGAAAGGCGAAGAAGGGGAAAACTGCGGCGTCGGGCAACTTTTAATCACTTGAGTAAACAGAAATTTGTCTTGCTGGTCGTTCAATAAATAAACGAAATGAATATATATGCTTCAATCATTTATATTATCATCTCTCATTAAGCCCAATCAATCAGCGGCAAAGATTTATTCCGGCCGACTCACTGTTCGGAGGCTGGCAGTCTGTGAAATTCATTCCGCAGCCATAAAAAATATTCTCAGCTCATTAATGTCGGCTCGATTCACGCTTTACCTGCCGTGAACTGATTTCGGTCGCGAATGGAAGCCGTCCGACCACTTTCAACTTTAACCTGCGACTGGTTTGGGGTTGCGTCTAATGCCCATTAAGCTGTCTTCGAGTTGTTTGCCTAGATGTATACCCAACTCGGTTCTGGGCGGCGTTCTCTATTTGTTTATTCAAATATGAATAGATGGGTTTTTAAGTGCCCAGCCAGTGTTATTGTCTCTGATCGGGGGACTTTTAATTAAGTCATCTTTGTTGACACAGCATTCCGCATTAAATAGAGACATTGATGACTGTGAAATGATGATTATGATGATTAATAGGGGCAGATATTTGAATTAAAAGTGAAAGTCTCGGGGGAATTTAAGATTCTGTGTGAAAGAGCTGAAATAAAAATTCCTTGATTGATTCATAAATCTTTATTTGTCGTTTTACTGCTAGTTGTAGTCACTATAGAACACCAATTGAATCTACTCGAATCACATACCCAACTTACTAGCTATTTGGTCAGTACACAAAGTTTAGTCTCAACGGAAATTCAATTTGCCGGCGGGTCGGACCCTCTATAAACACTGTACCCGAAACCCAATAAAAACCCCGAGTCCGACCGTCAAAAACTCTGGCTTCACACATCATCCGTGGCACGTTCGTCGTCGACATCGTCGGCGATGGTATCGTAAATCGTATTCAAAAATTTTCTAATTTCCGCATACGGTAGAATCTGCCACCAATTTGTCGTAGTTTCAATTTCCTCCTCCATTACTCCCGCGTTGGCAGGACGTCTCTGGGTGTCCTGGCGACGTTTATCCTTGCCCTTACCCTTGCCTTTGCCTTTGCTCTTACTCGTCGTTGTTAAAGGACGATGCGTGCTGATTTCCGGTGATTGTGTTTCCAATTCCTTCGCCGGCTGCTTCGCATCCAGTGGAGCAGGACTTGGTCCCAGGATAGGGTTTGGTCCAGGGGTGGTCACAACCCGATTCGCTGTCATCTTTGTATCAGTTTCATTAGACGCTTTTGCTCCTGTTGGCGTTTGCTTTCGCCTGGTCTTGGGCCGAGGCGGTCGGACTCGGGTTTCGTCCTTCTTCCTCTTGGCGGAGTGAGCCTTTGTGTCCATGTCATCGGCATTCTCCGCTGTCGGCCGACTGACAAGCTGCTGCATTCCTGTCGATGCCATATCGATAATTGTCCCACTCGGGGCCATAGTTTTCTTCACACTTGTCAAGGCTGCCTCATCCCCCGCGGCAGCTGTCACCGGGGCGTTCGAGGCCAAGGCTTCACCATCTTTTTCGACTTTATCCTGTCCAGGCACGGCCTCTGTTGTTGCAGCATTGTTCTCGGGCAGCTCTGGCGGTGTCAGCTTTACCTTCAGCGGCTCCTGCTGCTCATTCTGCTCCTCCGGGCTCATAACTTCTTCGGCGACTGGTTTACGTTCATGGTCAGTGGTCAGGGTATTCAATTGCACTATCTTCTTGGCCCCGATACTTTGCACATGGAACTCGTTCGAGTATAAATTCTCCTGTGCGTGCAGAGCCGAGTTCATTTGCAGCGGCATTAATTGCATGTTTATGGCCGGGTCTTTAATTGTTTGGTTCGCCTGGCCTGCCATTGGCAGGACCTCCACCTCCTGGTCGAGGTTCCTGTAGTGAGGCCTTTGCTCCGTGGATCGCCGACTGTGATGGGAGATCTGCTGCAGCAAGTGACCCATTGGAGGAACATCCTGACTAGACCTACTCTCCATAGCCAGGCGACCAGCCAGATTCATCCTGGGCTTGTTATAGGCATAGTCATCCACATTGAAGACCCCATGGGTGGGGGCACGTCGCCAGTGTCGGGCAGGAGTGGCTGCAAAAAGGGGTTCGTCAGGGGTTAGCAATCACTGTACTTTCACTCTTGGAACACTCCACCAAAGGGGCTCACCTCTGGCCACCAGGGCCCAAGACTGGATTAGCAACAGCAGCAGTGGCAGCTTCATTCTGTCTAATACATATTTTAGGCGTTGGCCCCGGCTACGACTAAACCGATTTTGGACCACTCGACCAATTTTATGGCCATCTGATTTGGGTCAGTCCGCAACTAATTTGCATTGACGACTCATGTTCGGCAATGTTCTAGGAATGTGAAAACACAGTGGACCCCACCGAAGCTCAACGCGATTAAAATCTAACATGCTATGGACATGGCATCTCGTCAAGATGACTGACCACTGTCTTCCGAGAACTGGTTTCCCTGAATCCCCGAATCGATTTCGAGCAACGGCACTTTTGGCTTTTGCCAAAACACACAATGGTTCAGTTTCGGCCCTGTCAATGGCCAAGCTAATGCCGTGCCATAAAATATTATTGTGATGCCACCTTGGTCGAGCCTTGGCCAAAATGTGTTTTCGCTCGCTTGGCCAAAAGTAGCGAAAGTTGAAAGTTCTGCTTAGCATTACAATGGCCTGCTAATGGAAAGTAATTGCCAAGAAATTCCGGGGAATGCAAAACAAGCCTTTATTGATTTTCGAATATTCTCAAGATCAAATTGTTTGTTTAAAACAAACAATCTTAATTTGTTTATAGAATCTCAAGAACTTATTGTTTTGATGAAATGAGTATTTATTTATGTAAAAAAATCATAAATGAAATTAGGTGTGCAAGAATAAATTCTTTGAAATATACTTTCACGCAAAAATTGTAAAATACTATTTCACTTTTAAACTTAATGCAACTCGATTACTAATTTAGTGACTTCAAACAATGCGTACGCATAAAATGCTTTGTTTATTTAGTAGTCTCAGCTGAAGCAGCTCACTAAATGAGTTCATTGAAAATTAATAGTTTGACAAAGCAAAAACAGACAGAATTATTCATAGCTCAAAACATTTGAATTGCTCCATGGTAAATTGAAAATTTAATTCAAAAAACCATTGCGGAAAGTGATTTATTTTAAAGAGCTTGTCAAAAACAGTTGACCAAAAGTCAGCAAGCAGCAAACAAACAGCGAGCAAACAAGCCATTCCGAGAACAGAACCGCTGACAGTTTCCACTCGGAGCACTTAAGATAACTTTGGGTCCGGACTCTGGACTACGGACTACGGACTACGGACTTTGGACTCCGGATCACGGGGGCGGTGGGGCGGTGGGGCGTGGCTGGTGACTGCTGGCCGGGCTGACTGGCGGTCTGAGCCAAGCTGATGATGTCCACCAACAGTGGCAGATTTATGAAAACTGTTGACATTTAGTTCTTCGAACCGTAAACTCTGAGCGGACTCAAGGCAGCGGAATTTACATTCGAACAATGCAGGCCGCAGAAGAACGGAGCAGTGTGCACGGGACATAATGCAAACGGAATCAGAATCAGAACCAGAATCGAAGGAGAGCAAAAAGAGCCAGCAGACGGGGAAATGTGAAAAAAGCCAGATGACAGGCGGCCAAGACGGACAAAGGCAATTGTGCTGGCATGTGAAGGAAAGCCCGTAAGAGAGAAAGAACTGTTGAAAAACTGGCGATATCACTAGGATACTCCAAACCATATGCGCTGGGAAAAAAGTTCGGGGAACTCTGGGTGTTAGACCCATCAATTGAGCGATTATTATTTGGTCTATTCTTCTTCAAAAAATCATCAGATACCAACTAACATAGCGAAAGATCTCATAAAATTCATAACATCAATTATAAAGTAAACAGATATGGCTAGGAATATAGATTAAAATGAACTGACATTACTAATACATTACCATCTTTATTTCAGTGTAGGGCTACAATAGCTTTCGGCCTGAACTGTGGCCTAAATGCAATTCGAGCGGCTTCCAATTTTATGTAAATACCTTGTATAATAAGGCCACTGTAGCGATAATGCGATTGCACAGAAAACGGACCTTATGAAGGGATAAGCCCGAAAACAAATTGCATCGATGGTTGAGTTCGAAAAGTGTCAGACGGAAGCAGTTACAATACCTCTCTTACATGAACCAAAGTGGCACTTTTGATTCTTCAATCGAGTTGAGGGTATGGAGAAGGCGATGACATATCCGTTGACGTTGAAATGCCCTGCACTGGACACTTGCCTTGTGGATGGAGATGATGATGATGATGATGCAGATGGAGTTGGGGCTGCGGAGCTGGCCTATGCAAATAAAAAAAACAAAGAAAAGGCCGTGCAAGTTAAGCGGATAGATAGAGTGAGGAAATTAAAAACAGTAGTGCACGTTGGAAAATTGTTTTATTACTTTATTTGTTATTTTCTTTCTTTTCTACCAAAATAATCCTAGTCAATAATAAGGAAAAAAGGAAAATTCTGAATTTTTAAAGTCGATTTAAAGGCAAGGGCTACCCAATTCTGTTCATAAAAAGTATTCAAAAGTATATCTTAATACTTATATTTAACTGAAAAATGCAATTTTCCCAAGAGTATATAAACGGATAAATGACAAACTTTAGTAGCATTTCTCCCAGTGTATTTGAAGAGGAAAAGAGAGTTCAGAGCCACTGTCGTCGACGTCTTAATTAAGCAGCTCAAACAGCAACAACAATTAGCCGAGCTGCAACTCAAGCGATGTTGATTGTTATTTTTTCAGTTTCCCGAGTGGGAGGACGAGATGAAAAGAGATGGGTAATAAAGGATAGAGGTGTACTGCTTGCACTTGTGGTGGCTTACCGAGAGGCTTAATCAACGATTAATTCAATCGAAATTGCAGTAGTAAAATTACTGAAAACTTTAAAACTTTTCCAATTCAACTTGAAGTTTAGTGGATTGTTTTCGGTTTCAGATTTTGTTATTCCTCTTTTGCTGTTTTGCCAGCAAGTGCACACAATTTGCTTTGTCATTAGACGAACACTTTAAGCACTCGACTGCGCTATTTATCTCAGGCCATCTCCCTCTAACCCCTTTCCCCTAGCCCCCTCCCGCTCGCACCTTGCTATCTCTGTCAACTGCTTTGCCTTGGCTGCTCATTTCCAGCTGGCCATTTTCTTTGTCCAGCTTTTATTTGACCATTCATTTGTTGCATTCGCCTGCCCAAATAATTGGAGAAATGGGTGGGAAAGTCCTAGGGGGTGGTGTCTGTAGAGCGGGACAGACAGATATCCATTCACAGCATTTTGCACATTTTCGCTTAATTTGAATTTTTCTATGCAAATGTCGAGCTGCCAGAAAAAAAGCACCCGAAATTCAACTGTTTTTCGTAAATAATTCTGTTTTATTTTGCATTATTTCTTTTTTTTCCTCCTTTCGTCTGCACCAAATTGTTATTGCAATTTTCTTTGTGTACTTTTGCACATTTTGCAGCATTCGCGGTTCACTGCGCTGTCGTTTATTTGATATTTGTATTCCCCGCTGGATCTATAGTATCTTCGATAAGGTACTCCAACCGTCTAACAGAAGTTGTCGGTGGGGAAATCCCTTTGAATTGAAGCTGCATGGATTTGGCTTCAATCGTCCACTCAATTCGTTCGGGTTGGTTGGCTTAAGGAAATATGGCCATTTGATTGATAATAAAATAGGTATTATATGAAAGTGGTAGAGTGCAAATAATATTTATAGATCTAAGTGACCTAACAATAAAAATATTTCATTCTTTTCAGATCGAATGAGTTACACGACATTTAAACATTGTGAAATAAATTTGATTGACTTTGAAGACAATGTATTATATATCAAAGAAACAAATTCTTAAAATAATATTTTAAGCCATTTGACTATTTATTTATAATTGTTAAGGCCATATTCCTTGATTTTGCACAGCCTGGATTTATTTTGGATAATCATGTTGGGAATATATATATTTAATCCTACTTAGGTTGCCATGACTTTTTAATGCATTCAGTTGTTCAAAACCAGGCAAGTGTCATACAGCCTTCACGATTACCACTTTCATTTAACCTACTTTCTTTTAGCTTAACAATAAGCTCGGAAAGTCTTGCTTAAAGCTGAATATTGCATTCAAAGTGTTCTTATGTCCATATGTGTGACAACGGACAAGCAATTTTTTTTTCATTTCACCCCAGTTTATCCGGCTCTTTTCCGACTCTGAATACTTTCCTTTTCCAATTTCCTCACTTTAAGCGGGCAGAAAATACAGGCTATGTGCAGGGGATTGCGAATTGTAGTTGGCTGGCTAATTGTTATGCAAAAGCCAAAATGAGGCCATAAAAATCCGATTGCGGGCCGGAATCTGAAACCGAGTGCCGATAAACTTTACCCCTCTGTCGCGATGGGATCGTCGTGTTTGATTTGCCGCGTAGCCTTTGCATGCCGCAAACAAACGACACTTTGATTTAGTGCAAGAACAATGGCGAGCAAACAGAGCCATGTTGGGGATGGCAGTAGTCACAGTGGCAAGGATTCTATGGCTAATACAACAAAACAAAGCTAATGGCCAAACAAAACGAGACCGAAATGCAGGCGGCAACTTTATGGCTGGCATAAAAACCCTGTATTTATCTATTTTTCCACCAGCTCTCGGGAATCTCTCGGAATCTATATCTGTATCTGCGGCAAACGCCTCCTGAATGTCAATGTGCAGCCTGCCTCCAGGGCGGCCCACAGTGCGTATGCGCGATACAGTTTATCGTCTTGGCACAGCATTCGCAGCATAGTTCTATATTATATCCGCAGAACTTGTTGCTACAACGCAGCCACAACTTTTGCCACCTAATGCCGCATCAATATGCAAAGCCGGCAAGTTTTGGGCCAAGTCGAACGCCCCACTAAGCCGCTTAAAACACAAAGAACACGAAAAAAGGAAAAACTTTAAGTTCATTTAACTTTTGCAATCAGCTGGCGGAGCAGACAAGAGAAGACCATCGCCTGCCAGGGCAATTTATGATTTATTAACAACGAGCGAAACTCAATTTGTGCCCCGAGCCAGAGCCCGTTAAGTCAGCTAAAGGGATTTCTTAAACTTAAATGATTTTAATTATTGAGAATTATCGACAGTGCAGAGCTCTGTAATGCGATTTCCTTCGATTGGGGATTTCGCCCAGCAGATGGGAG